GCTATCCTCGAAAAAACAAAATTGCTCCCTGGGATGACAGAACACTGTTAGTCTGGAGCCCTGCTTTTTAGCCTGCACAAAACTAACTTCACACAACAGAAACACATCGGCCACTGCCAATGGTGAATGACAACTTATTTAAATATAAATCGGTGCATCCCTTGTTTCTGCCTGTTCAAGGTCCACATCAATCAGTGAATCATTTGGTTGATAAAACCTTCATGAAGCTATAATCAGCATGTTTGGCTAATAAATAATGATCTTGTCTTTGTTCTGTATTCAACTAACTATGTGTCGAAAAGATTTGCAAATTATTGCATTCTATTTTTATTTACATTTTACACAGCTTCACAACTTTCTTGGAATCAAGTTTCAACTATCCATCCATCCATCCATCCATCCAACCATCCAACCATCCATCCACATCCACTTATCCGAGGCCGGATCGTGGGGGCAGCAGACGTCCCTCTACTCAGCAACGCTTTCCGGCTCCTCCTAGGGAACCCCAAGGTGTTCCCAGGCCAGATGAGTTATGTAATCCCTCCAGCATGTTCTGGGTCTGCCCCGGGACATCCTACCAGTAGGGCTGCACGGTATATGCGGTAGACGGTAGAAATGATATAAATTTGGCCCACAGTAGAGATTTGCGCTCTACCGTCCTATCGTCGATGACGTCATCGCACCTGCCTCAGTGTGAAAATGGCTGCGAGCACAGAGACAGCGGAGCAAGAGGAGCTGGTTCACGTCCGTGATTTAGCGTAGCACGTGCAACATGTGTTGCTGGAGAACTTGTGAGTGAGTGAGTTAATGTCTTATGAACAGCCCCGGACTTCTCAGACTCTTTTAGCGACTTACCGCTCAGAGGGAACTCATTCAGTGTCTCCTCTGGCAGCAGCACAGCGTCTCTCCCTCTCCTCTCTCGCCGTGCGCACACGGGAGTTGGTTTTCAGCAAGAGGGTTTGTCATAAACCTTTGGTAATGTAAACCTATGTGACGCTAGGGGCTCCACAAAAAACTCCATATGTGAATGTGTGATAGTTGTGGTATCATAGCAGCCTGTCATAGGTTACAGCTTGATGATTAGAGGAGAAATGGCAGAGCATAAAGGTCCAGGTGGAAAAAACACAACTCAGTCATTTAGGATTTTGCTAAAAGAAGGAAATTACCTTTTGATATAGATCCTAAGGGACATTTTGCACCATAGAGTACTGGGTTTTAATTTTGAGTTTTGAGATCTGCATTCTGCACAATAAATGCTCTAAAAAATACATTATATCTTTGCTTTTGTTTTTTTTTTATCAATTTAGCTTTGCTAAGGGACTACAAAACCCATTCAGAAACACTTCCATTACAACTTTTATACTTAAATTTATACCGCGATATATACCGTTACCGTGAAGGGATTCGATTTATACCGTGATATAAATTTTAGGTCATACCGCCCAGCCCTACTACCAGTGTGATGTGCCTGAAATATCTCCAGCGGGAGGCGCCCAGGAGGTATCCTGATCAGATGTCCAAACCACCTCAACTGACTCCTTTAGATGCAAAGGAGCAGGAACTCTACTCTGAGCTCCCTCCGGATGTCCAAGCTCCTTACCCTATCTCTAAGGCTGAGCCCAGCCACCCCACAAAGGAAACTTATTTTGGCCGCTTGTATCCTCGATCTCATTCTTTCGGTCACTACCCAGAGCTCATGACCATAGGTAAACTATCCAAAATATAACTAGTCATGTTCTACCCTGACACAACAAGATGACAATGTGAGATGTCATCCTGCATGGTAAAATTATTTGGTTCCAGAGATTAAATTACACTGATAACCACAAACACGAAGGCTGTTTTCAAAAATGAAGAATTATCAAATATAGTTTGATAAAAAATCAAGCATATCACTTGATACCATGAGAGCCACAATTTTAGCCTCAAAGATAAAGCTGGTGTTATTCTGTTTTTTTTCTTACTCTCAACAAACCCCATTAAAAAAAACAAAACAAAACCATCAATGTGTTTGTTTGTTTGTTTCTCAACACTGTCTGACTTCCTGTCTGTAGCTCACAGACTTAAAAAACACAAATATTGAGTTTGAGTGTGAATAAACTAGTACATGTGTGTGTGTTCATGGTGATGAAGCAACAACAGTGTTGATGTGTTTTTAACAACAATGGAGAAGTAGATACCTGTACCTGTCAGTGGATACATTTACTGTCAGTTTGGGTCCAAACATGAGATTTGTTGATGAGATAAAATTCTCCAGACGTGCTGTTTTATCAGTAACCTCTAAAATCCAATTTTTTTTAAATAAAATGTTATTTGTGCATTGATACCAAATTATTCAACTTCATAAAAATGTGCTGCACTGATTTACCAACAATGCGAGGCCAGAGCTTTAACAAAGGCAGCACACACACATACAGGTGTGTGTCCTCAACAGAACCATTAAAACGATGGTTTGGATGTTTTGAAGTGAGGTTGTATGGGTACTTAACCATAGTCAGTGTATTACATAAAGTAGATGTGAGTCTGCATGCCTAAAACTTAGAGAAGCAGGCTGGGGTCCAACATGGAAACTAAGCAATCTGCTGCTGTGGATGGGGCAGCAAAACACATTTTGACCAACTAAAAAAATCAATGTCAGTTTCAGAGTATGCTATATTTATAGTATTTCCACTGTTTTACTTTGTCGTCAGACAGCCTGTTCATCAATGCTCTCATTAAAGCCACCAGACTTCACTGACAAAAACTGCAATTTAAGCCACCTGAACACAGGAGCTGCTCATATACTGCTGCTTTGAACAGATAGATTGCTTGTTATTTTGTGACTTTGGTGAATCTGAACTAACCCTTTAAACACCAAAGTCACACAATAACACAAACTAGCTAACCGATCGAGGCAGCAGTAGACCAGCAGCTCCTGTGTTCAGCAATGTTAAATCACTGTTTTTCAATTCAATACATTCAATTTTATTTATAAAGCCAAATATCACAATTTGCCTCACAGGTCTTTACAGCATACGACATCCCTCTGTCCTTAGTACCCTCGCAGCAGATAAGGAAAAACTCCCCCCCAAAAACCCTTTAATGAGAAAAAGAAATGGTAGAAACCTCAGGAAGAGCAACTGAGGAGGGATCCCTCTTCCAGGACGGACAGAGGTGTAATAGATGTTGTACAGAACAGATCAACCTAATACATTTACAGTAGAGTCTGCTTTTGAAGAGAACGATGTAACAGCTTCATTTTTCCTGTTGGAAATCGCTGTCTGACAGCACGGGAAAGCAGTGAACATATTCTAAATACAGCATACACTGAAACTGAAAGTGACTTTTTTTAGGTGGGCAGGGTTCAACGCTAAGGTTTTTTTCACTTGCCCGGTCGGGCAAGTTGGTCAGAGATCTACTTGCCCAAAGTCAGTTTTTACTTGCCCTAAAAAAATTGTTTAATTTAAGCGGCTATCAATTAACAAAGAGTGCAGTTATGTTTATGTCATGTAATCTTTATTCACACTGTATTTATTAATTAAAACAACATATGTCATGTATTGTAGCTTAATTCCTACACAAAAATTGCAGTGTCAGGGCTTAAAGTGAAAATTTGTCAATTGTTCTCCGTCTATAATTTTGCGCCCTACTTGAGCCATGCCCACCTCTATTTATTTTTCACCCCTCTCTCCAGTTCTGCTGTATTAACACCGGGTTTAATATATTTTGCTTCCATCTCTCTGCCCTGCTCTACTCTGCTTCAACGCTACTTAGCTCTCTCTCTACTCTACCAGTAGACTACCACATCCACCTGTTGCACAAAACGCACACAGCAGTGTTTCCCCTAGGATGGAGTTGTAGCAGCGGAGGTGAAGCACACGCATGAAAAATAATTTTCACATGCGTGAAACTTTTTTGTATGCTTGCAAAGCACAGCCTGCTGGGATGTTTCTATGTATCTACTGGCACCAGAAGGGCTCTTTAGGACTAAGTACATACAGTACATGTGTGCACAGTAATGAGCAGGTGAAATGTCTGTCTAGCTTACATATGAGGTGTCTCAAGATTTAGGAAAATACAATTCTATTGAATATAATAAAAGTAAAAAGTCACTTGACATGCTGCTGTTTTGTGCTATGACCTATTTAAGTGTTGGAAGTTGTTATTTAGTGACAATGCCTGAACGCAACACAAGCTCAGCATGAGTGCCGTGCTGCGCTGCTGTGCGAGCAGCTGTTTGTCTGTGCGTAATGTGCAGTATGTCGATGGTTATTTAGGCTACACACTAGGGTTGTGCCGATGGGCGATTGGCGATGGAAGGGTTGTTTCACGATGTCTTTTTTTTTTAAATGACGATGCAATCGCGAGGTGTGGGGGGGGAGACAGCGCGTGTGTGGCGCATGCTGACGAAATCGAGGCTGAACGAGACTGAGTGAGAGGAGACAGAGGAAGGCTGCTTAATGAGAGAGAGGAGGGTGGGGGGAGGGGGGGAGATCAACGCCTCCGCCCGCTCGACACTAACGCGCATGTCACGGAGCGGTGAACAAACCAAACAACACAATGTCAGGAGAAATTGAAAAGATATTCCGTCTGTGTAAAGTCAACTTGCTAATTAAGGAGCCATTACATGTTCAAGAGTTTTATAAAGCTGCTCAAACGCCAAAGAGAGGCTATAAGTGAACGTTTCAGACACGCAGGGCAGGCTCTACAAGGAAGAAGGAGGACTTTCCTACTTCTGTGTAGCATCGCAAATTGTGACGTTACATCACAAATTGTGATATTAGAGTGCCATCTTATGGTCAATTTAAGCAATAATATCTTCATAGCCAGCTGTTTTACAGTCGCTCAACTGATTATTTTACTGTTTTATATTGTTAATAATGACAATAACAACAACCTAAAAGTTAGCCTTATGTATGGCTAATACATAATTATTTAGCCTAATAGATAATTGGTTATTTGGAGTAGAGACAATACCATCAATAGGCCCAAACACTGCACAATAATCAGTCAATGGTGAAAGTCAAAAATAGTTTTATTGCAAACACTGGCTTAAAAAACAACAACTTGTGTAAAAATATGGCACATAAAAAACAATAACTTGTGTAAAAGAAAATGTGGCACATAAACTAGGCCATTCAATTATTCATTGTTGTTAAAGTGCAATGAAATAATGTCAGCAGACAACAGAAAACATATTTTGTCTTCAGCCTGCTGGAGGGCTATAGAAATAAATTATGTCCTTTTTGTAAATAAAATAGACAGGCTGTGATGCCAGGTCAACCATAACCTGAACAAAGAATAATAAATAACCTAATAGGCCTTAATAAACAAAAATCAAAAATGAAAACCTCAGTTTACATACTAGCAGCCTTCAGTCCTACTCCAAAAACTGTTCAATGTCCACAGATAAGTAGCCTTGTTGTTTTATAAATAAAATGAATAATATACAATAACAAAATAAAGTTAAAATAAAAATAAATATATATTAAAATAAACACAGCCAGAAACAATATGAACTCAAATTTGTAAGCTTAATATACTGGAGTTATACCTAGAGTCTACCTTTAGGCAGACATGTGTATGCCTAAAGATTTTTGGCTAAGAAAACCAGCTGGTTTACTTTCTCTGGTTTGAGAATGTTGCGTTGGGGAGTAACAATGTTGCCAGCAACACTGAACACACGCTCTGATGGGGTGCTGGTAGCAGTGACACACAGGTATTTTCTAGCCATGTTTACCAGCAAAGGAAAGCGACTGTTGTTGCTGTTGGCACTCCACCATCCCAGTGGTTTGTCATCACCATTAATGACTTCCTCTTGCAAGTAGGATGTCATTTCAGAATTAGCTCGCTGCTCTGCAGGGATTGTGGCCATAGGCTGCTTCGTCCTTCCCAGAAGACTGCCCAGTGTTTTGGTCCTCTTAGCTGACTGCTTCTCAGTAGCTGCTGCTGCTTCTTCTTCCTCCTCTTCCTCCACTCTGATGCGTACAGATGGCTTAGTTTTGGCTTTCCAATACGCCACCATCTCATCCTCAAGCTCACTTTTGATCACATCAAGGGCCGGGGCATTGATGTGGTCCCCCTTATAGCGTGGGTCAAGGAGGGTGGCTTTGCGCATCCACTGAAGGGTTGATTCCGCATATTTTGAGTCCACTTTCTCCAGGATCCTCCTTTTCAGTTCTTTGACCATCTCTACATCACTGTCCTCCTCCTTCAGGATATCCATCATAAGATGCAGCATGGGCAGCAGAGATGAGACTGTCACATAGTTCTCAGCAGATAAAATGTCAGTAAATTCTGCGACAGGCTTCAACCCATCCTTGACAGCCTCTAGGACAGCAGTGTCCTGCCAAGTAATGCTTGCGACGGCTCTGGTCATCAGCAAAGACCCTTTTGATAGCAGGGAGCTGTTCGAGGATTCTTTGTACCATGGCATATGTCGATCCCCAACAAGTTGCACAATCCTATAATAATAAGAATAATGATATTAATTATTATTATTGTTATTATAATGAGTATTAATTATATTACCATTAGTAATTAATTTATAGGTAACCTACAGGTGGTCTGGCCTAGATATCTGCAGCGACAATTCAGATTATTTCTAACAGTCTATGACTGACATTCTTCACATCTATTTTATTTTAAATTACATTAATGTGTGGGCTACAAGACAATTATTAAGCCAGTAAATTAAGATAGTTGACATACCGTTATCAGCATGTGTTGAGGTAGATTCATCTCCTCCTGCACCTTGCTGAGCTCTCTTCGTCTTTGCCAGCTGTGAGAGAAAGCGCCATTAATAGCGTGGCAGACACCTAAAGCCCGATCAGTTTTTGTTTTTTCCTTCTGTATTGCATAATTGACTGCCACATTCAGATTGTGCCCGAAGCAGTTCAGCCATGGCCATTTGAGCTCTCAAACGGCCGCAACAATATTAGCTCCGTTGTCAGTGGTGATGCAAGAGATTTTACTCTCTTCTATATCCCAATTATGGATAGCCTCCCTCAGCCCCTCAGCCAGTACCGCAGCAGTATGGTTCTCCGGGATGAAAGTTGTTTCGAGACATTTCGCCTCCAGTTTCCAGTCCTCAGAAATATAATGCGCGGTCACAGACATGTAGGGGGTCATGTTCACACTTGACCACATGTCTGTGGTGAAAGCGACGAAGTCAACCACTTTCAAATCCTTTGAGATGCGTTCCCTTGTTGCGTTGTACAGCTCGGGAATGGCGGTCTTGGTGAAATATTTACGGGACGGCAGCTCGTACTGTTTGTCGAAAGTTTGTAGCAGGTCTTTAAAACTTGCTTTATCAACTGTGTGATATGACACCATCTCCTTAACAATGTACCTTGCAACAGCTGTCGTGCACTGGGCCCACCTTGCACTGTTTCTTTTATATTTGGAGCTTTTAACAAAGACCTCAAAGTGTCAACCTGGCCTCCAAATTCCCCAGATCCCAGTCTGAATGAGCATCTGTGGCACGTGCCGTTAACCCACCTCATAACCTACTGTACTAAATGGATCTGCCACCAACACTTGGGGCCCTATTTAGATGGTCTGAAACGCAAAGCACCAGGCGTGCGGCGCATGGGCGTGTCCCAGTCACTTGCTAGTTAGACAGCGCGTTTTTAGACTGTGCGCCATGGCGGAGAGTCTAAAAGGGTTGGACTTAATCTGTGAATTAGTCATGGGTGTGTTTTGGGCGTATCATTCAAGAAGCCAATCAGAGTGTCACCTCTCATTCCCTTTAAAAGAGGCGCGATTGGAGCGCATGGTGGAGAGCTAGTTAGATGGTGGACCTACCAACTGCAAAGAGTGAGCGTTTTACAGCTGAGGAGACTGATCTCCTTGTGTGGGAGGTGAAGGCCCGTCAGAACCAGATCTACGGGGACAGCAGACAGGCACCCAAGCTCCCTGAGGTAAAGCAGGCGTGGGATCACTAATACAAGAAAGATCTTACTAAATATCCGTGGAATATTATTCAAACCTGTTTTCATCATATAGCAGAGCACAGCGGTCAGGACTGCCGCTGAGCTCCCCAAGGTGCTGATCCTGCAGCTAGGATCTGTTCAGCATTTTCTCCCCCACCCACGTTTGTTAATTGTTTTCACATGTTTCCTAGAGCTGTGTTCTGCCTCTTATTTGCATGTGTGTCCTCTCTACACTCAGATAACAATATAATAATATAATGTAGCCTAGTAGCCTATATAATGTAGCCTAGTAGCCTATATAATGTAGCCTAGTAGCCTATATAATGTAGCCTAGTATAACATGTTAAAATAAATGCAATGTGTGGGCTTTGGTTTTCAATCAAAAACGATTGATTGGTCAGATAATTTCACAATTTCATTTGTCATTTTAACAAATTATGATGATCATTATTACTGCGATTAGATCATTCTGATTAATGACTGACCATTAAGACGTGTTTCTGATAAATATTTTAATGTGCACAATAATAACCTTTCACATTGTAATCATATTTTATTTGTTATCTTTTGCATATGTGTGGCTGCTCCGTGTGTGTCTGAGCAGAGTGCACGCGCGTTGTGCACCCGCCTAGAGACGCATATTACTAACTTGTTTAACAGCACAATACTGCGCTGTTGACTTTAGACCAGGTTTTTGTTGGTCACTGGCGCATTTGCTTTTTACGTCATCTAACTAGCAACGCGCCATGACTGCGCCTGACCACTACTCATTTTTAGACCAACATACCCAGAGAAGCGCAAGTTCATTTGCTAGTTAGACGACGAGGGCGCAGGGTGTGAAAATGACAACTGCGCCTGCATCTAAATAGCAATGACACTTGTGACATGGATTATACGCCCTCCGCCGTCTGCTTTAGACCATCTAAATAGGGCCCTTGTTCTGCAATGGTGTTTGAGTGGGTGGAACATGTCAGGTGGTATCCACATGAATGCCAGAACCAAAGCTTTCTTAGCAGAACAATGCATTGGAACAAAAGGATCAAAGTTATTCACTTCACCTGTCAGTGGTTTTAATATTTTGGCTGATCTGTGTACATTTTGCTGCTGACCCATCCACGACAGCTTAGCTTTCATGTCGGACTCCAGCCTACTTCTCCAAACTGGGGGCGTGCTGACTGACGTCTACTGTAGGTCATATACTGACTATGGATAAGTACCATAACCCCACTTTAGAAAATCTGAACTCTCTCTTTTAACTCCGGATCCAGGAGCTGCAAGCTGATCTGACTCTGACAACAAACAGTTCAAAACTCAAGGAAAATGCCTCCAACATAAACATAAACATCATTATTCACTCAGTGTCTTTTCACACTTTCAGACGTAAACTGAGACTATTCAGGCTGGACACGGGATCAACAACACGTCTACACCCTGAACCATGTACAGCATTAAACCAGCAGCAGGAAAACAACAAGTCATTCTGACAAAGTGATCGGTCAAAGGTCCAAACTGCCAAGGTAATCAGATAAAGATTTACTCCAGACGGCTGTAATTTCCTCGTCATTTTGTTTTCTTGAGGAAAAAAAAACAGTAAAATTTGTTTATAGATCAGCGGACATTTCAACAAATACTAGGAATGAAGCTTCTTAAATTAATAATGACTGAATATGAATCTGGGTTTAAAAAGTTAGGAAAAACTAGGAAGTTTCTCCATAATAACTACAACATTACATCATTCTTTTGAAAAACTTCTTAGATGATTATGGATCTCTTGAGTTTTATCCTGCTAACCTCCCTACCCTTAAGATTATTTTCTTGATTAATCAATTAATGTTTTGTCTACAAAAGTTCAGAAAATCTCCAAGGTCTAAGATGAAGTTTTCAAATGTCTTCTTCAGTCCAACCAACAGCCAAATACAAGAATATGTTCAGTTTACTGACATCTGAGAAGCTGGATCAAGCAGATTCTACTGCTACAATTGACAAACAATTATGACAGTTTTACAGAAATTACCAATATATTTTCTGTCAACCGACTTATCAATCAAATAACTAATCATTGCAGCTCTACAACACACATGATGTATCACTACATATAAATAGAAAACGTTAAATTTTAGTCTAGTATTTGAGAAATCTGCTGTCTTGACAAAGTCCTCACTTGCACTTCCTGTCATCACATAAACTTTAAGCTCATTAAAGCTGTTTCTTACAGAAAAATAAAATATTTGATATTATCTGACAAAAAAAAGAGATGTTGTTACACCCACTGTAAAATAATTTTGTGCTGAAATGTTAGCTCATAATGTAACAAGCACTTGACTTATTGACACAACACCTCTCTTTATACTCTTAAAACAATATTCACAACTTGGATTAATTTACTATCAAAACACTAACTTTGGCTCAAGATGGCCCAGTGGGCTTTAAGAGGTTTTACATCCAAAGAATGTTTATAACCATTAACTGCCTCACCGAATCAATGGCAACCACAGCTAGCTTCCACTTTAGACCTACGATTCTTTGTCAAAACGAGTAGCCACACTCGGTTAATGAAAGGGACTCTGCATTTCATTGGGGCTTGGCTTTAATTGAAGTTTTAGGAAAACCATAAATTAAAAAGTTTTTGTGGGATCCAGGCAAGCTTAACTGCTAAATCTGTCAAATACATCAAGCTTGACTTTACCAGACCCCCGGTACATTCAGGATTGAATGCAGGTGTCTTTTGACTGGAGACATGTCAATACTACTTGGTACTGAGTAATTTAGGTTGACACTTCAAAGGTATCAATACCCAGCCCTACTTTTTAACCCCTTTAGGTAGAGTTGGGCGATCTTGTCCATATCCTATCGTCCTATCGCCATCTAGTGAAATCGCCGATGAACAATGTCATCGCCCGGGGGGGGTTCATTACGCGTCGCCGCTGAAACATTCACTTATAGCCTCTCTTTGGCGTTTGAGCAGCTTTATAAAACTCTTAAACATGTAATGGCTCCTTAAGGCCCCAACATACTCGGGCGTAAGCGGAGCAGACTCCGCGAGGAATGTCCGCAGTCATTCGGGTTTCCATAGTCGAGCGCACTTCCGCGTTGTAGTTTCCTGTAAAAATGTCGGTGAAAATCCCTGCGATGTGAAATACATGCCGAGCAGTCACTGGTGTGCGGAGCGGAGTCCGTGCGGTCGTAAAATCTGAGCTTTGCGCGCACAGGCCTTGCGGACGTCCGCTTTGAGTCCGCGCGGACCTCCGCGGAGTCCGTTCCGCGTATGTTCCGCCCGAGTATGTTCGGGCCTTTAATTAGCAAGTTGACTTTACATAGACGGCATATCTTTTCAATTTCTCCTGACATTGTGTTGTTTGGTTTGTTCACCGCCCCGCGACATGCGCGTTAAGGCGTACATACTCGGGCGGAACGGACTCCGCGGAGGTCCGCGCGGACTCAAAGCGGACGTCCGCAAGGCCTGTGCGCGCAAAGCTCAGATTTTACGACCGCGCGGACTCCGCTCCGCACACCAGTGACTGCTCGGCATGTATTTTTCACATCGCGAGGATTTTTCACGGACATTTTTACAGGAAACTACAACGCGGAAGTGCGCTCGACTATGAAAGCCCGAATGACTGCGGACATTCCTCGCGGAGTCACAAAATAATGCAAAAAAATTAAATAAATAAAAAACACTCATGTCACCTGAGGTCTTCCACATAGGCTACAGATTAGCAACAAAATAAAAGTCTTAACTTTTCATTCAAACAGGGGCAAATATATAACGACTGATATTACCTTATAGGCTAGGTTTATGTGAGCCGGTAAGTAACAACAAATCAAAGAACATAAATGCTTAAGATATTTAAATTATATGAGAGAGCCCAGCAAGTTAATTTTTTACACTATGAAATGATCCACACACTTAATATCTTAGTCACTATTATTTTATCATCAGATTTAAGGGAATATTGCGACAATGTTAATTTCTTAAAATAAGAAAAGTTTTAAACTCCCCAATATCCAGATTAGTATGGACTCAAATAAAAATCTGGTATAAATCAGGCTCTGTATTAAACCACATCTGAATTCTGTTCAATAATGCTAACAGTTAATACTACTGGTACTGTAATGCTAACCTGCTTAACTACTTTTGGGCTCTTTTACACATTCATACCCAATACTACAATCAGCTGACATTAATTTATAGTTGGATGTTGGCTTGAGCTTTTTAGAGGTTCCCCCAGGAGCCTTTCTGGGGTCCCTGTGCTGCTGACCTGAGCACAGAAAACAGTTTGCAGTCTGCTCAACTGGTGCCACCGGACTTCAGCCAAAAAAAAGCCAAATTTTACAACAGCTAACCACATACGTATGTTAAGTCAAGTTAAGTGTGTTTTCTGTATATTATGCAAGTTCCTGGTGTGGGATATTTCCTCATGCTGACTGTCGCAACACATAAACTGTGCTCACCTCTTCTAGAAATTTGGTGACATCGTAGACTTTGTTATGGATGATGATCCACGTTGATTTGAACGAGTTCTGCTCCTCGATCTCTGACAGTCTGTAATATCTGACTCCATTGGGGCATTTTTCCTCCTTTTCACCCATT